TGTGTGGGCCCTGAGCGCGCGATGTCCAGGCGTGGTGGCTGGGCGGTCCGCTACACAGGGGCATGTTCCTGGGGAGCTTGCCCTGAGCATGTAGGTATTCAGGTGACCAGGGCTCGCTCCCCGCTGCGGCGAGTTGGCAGTGCCAGGGAGGATCGCTGGGTGGGGCCATAGTCAGCGGCGCAAGGTGTCAGGCCTATCGGCTTCCTGCTCAGCTTCCGCAGGTCGTCTAGTGCCGCTACTCCATATCATTTCTTGTCCTCCGTGCCCGTCCGCGCTCCACGGAGAGGTGACCTCCAGCTCTCTCTCGCCTTCCTCCAGTGCTCCTGGCCTTCGGCCGAAGATTGTCCTCTGGCTCTACCTGCCAGGAGGAAGAAAACAGGTCTGCAAGGCTGCTCCGCGACGGCCCACCCTCGTACCCCCCCCCTCCCACCGCCACTGCGAAGAGCTCCCCCACAGCATTCCTGACGCCCAGACTGCCCAGACCGCGAAAGTCGTCGCGGCCTCGGCGCCTGCAGATGGGCACCCACCCGCTCGTCGCCCCTGCAGGTGCTGCACCCAAGGCAGGGCCAAAAGCTGGCTGCCCCTCTGGGCCCCACAATAGCATGCTCACCAGTGAAGTTTCCCCCAATGACAAAGGGGATGACCCCATCGGGCCACACACGTTCTGGTCGGGACGTTGCCGCCCGTCGGCTACGGGATCTGCCTCTCCATCTCCCACAGGCTCCCCTCTGAGGCTGCCCGTTGGTGCTCTGGCAGCTGGGGTTAGAAGTGTTTCCTGGAACTGAAAGAGGAAGGCATGGTGGCTAGTGAGTGGAGAGGAAGACCAGGAAAACAAAAGCATAGTCAAACCTCATTTTTCATGGATTCTACGCTTGCAAATTTGCCTACTGGCTAAAATTTATTCGCAGCCCCCAAAATCAATACTTTCAGGGCTTTCACAGTCATTTGTGGACATTTGCCGAGCAGTGAAAAATTTCAGTCACCCAACATGCATGTTCCTAGCTGAGGTCGAACAATTCAACGCTCCGCCTTCTGCTTTCGGCTCCCATCGTGTAAACAAGGGTCCTTTTTGAGGTCTAGTTAAAGTGCCCTGTTTTTTGCATTTTTGTGCACTTTGTTGAGGGTTTTGCTGTTTAAAACAGCCCCTGAGCATAATGCTGAAGGGCTCTCTGGTGTTCCCAAGGGCAAGAAGGCTGTGATGTGCCTTACAGAGAACATACATGTGCTAGGTAAGCATCTTTGAGGCATGAGTTAGAGTGCTGTTGGTGGTGAGTTCGATGTTAATGAATTAGCTCCATATTAAGCAAGGTGTCTTTATAAAGAAACACTCATAAAACAAGGTGATGCATTGATCAGTTGACAAAAATGTTGTGACCAGAGGCTTGAAGGAACCTGACCCGGTGTTTTCCCTAGGAGCAATGGGTATTTGCTAGTGTTTTCAGTGACTGTACAGAGTAGCTATAAAGTTATTCTGTAACTTCCACAAACAGTGAGAATTGACAATAATCATAAAAGAGAACAAAGGTGCACTCATTTTCTAGGAATTGTGGGGATCTGAGATTAGGAAAATATCCCTTCTCATCGAATAAACCTTGACATTTGTGGAACATTCAGAACTCTATGCCTTCTTTTGGTTTCCCAAATTCATGTTTGCATTTGACATAGGAGCTCCAAGGCATGTGGACAAGTGTCATATTATATTTGGCACATGAAGAAACTAAAGCCAAAGCTTTGCCCAAAGTCACCTGGTAGGTTAGCAGAGGACCCCTCCATGAAGCTTTCCCTTGTGCCATACCTACTGGTCCCCACTAAGGTCACATGAGCCTTACTTGTTAGCAGGCCACGAGGTCACCCTCCAATGCCACCTACCCTTATTCCATAAGGTACCACATTAGGATCTTCCCTCAAGCTGGACAGGAAAACTTCAGGCACACTACAGTGTTCCAAGAGCAGGCCCTCAATAAGAATCCCTGCCCTTTGGCGTGGTGGCTCACGCCTATAATCCCAGCACTTTGGGAGGCCAGGGAGGACGGATCACTTGAGGCCAGGAGTTCGAGACCAGCTTGGCCAACACCGTGAAATCCCATGTCAACTAAAAATATAAAAAATTGGCCAGGCGTGGTGTTGCATGCCTATGGTCCCAGTTACTTGGGAGGCTGAGGCACAAGAATTACTTGAACTCAGGAGGCAGAGGTTGCAGTGAGCCAAAATGGTGCCACTGCATTCCATGTGACTTTGAAAATATATGCAATTTGCAGAGGGAGACCCTGTCTCAAAAAAAAAAAAAAAAAAAGAGAGAGAGAGAGAACAAAAGAAAAAAGAATCCCTGCCCCTGCCCTTTGGGAAGGGGAGGGCTATTTGTGTGCTCTCAGGACCATGTCTCGAACATCAGCATTGGCAGTGAGGAGCTTTCACCCTTCTACAGAGCAGTGAGGGGCTGGAGAGAACAGACACAGCCCAGCCCCTCATCCCTCCCATTCCCGCATCCATGCACAAGTACCACATGAATTTTTAGGAGTTTGGACCACAATCAAGGATAAGAAGAAAGCATCCCTGACCTTAAAGAGCTTTGAGTCCAGGTAGGGAGACATATGAGCAAATCCTTTCAATATGGTGTGATAAGTGACAGGGTAACAGTGTGAGCACAGACAAGGGAGAAAACAGGGAAAATGGAGGGATAGTCATGTTTGGGGGGCAACTGGGGAAGATGAATAGGAGAAGCTCCTGAGATGGGCCTCAGAGGATGCACAGAAACTTGCAAAGTGGGAACAGGAGAGCCCAGGAGGGATTGCAGTGTTGGGCAGAGTGTCAAGATCTGGAGTGAGAAAGCTCGGGTTCCAGTCCCAGCTCTGCCACTCACTAGCTGTGTGATCCTGGGCAGGTCACTTTACCTCTGTGAGTCTTAGTTTCTGGACCTGTCAAACAGGAGTTGTCCTGACACCGCCTTTAAAGGTAGTTGGGGACAGTCAGGCTAGACAATACTTTTGAAAGTGGTTTGTAAACTGTAAGCAGAAAGAATGTCAGTTCTTAGTTGCTGGGGATGTCTGTATTTACTACTCCTTTGGAGAAGGGATGAAGATATCCCGAGGGAAGATAGGCCCATGTGCTGGGGTCAAGCTCATGGCCTCTGTCCTGGGAGGGCCTGGCTGGGAACAGGGACAGTCCTTGTTTCCCTAAGACTGGAATTCATTTCTAGGACACAGAGGGCCCTTTGGCACCTGACTTACCTGCACCTTTGATGGAGGACTTACGAGCGGTGTGCTGTCTAAGATCCGCAGCCTGCTGTACCTGGAAGGCCCTCAGGTCCTCTTCGTCCAGGGCAATGTCCCCAAGAAAGGCAGCTAAAGAGAAAAGAAGAAGCCAGGGCTGAGTTAATCCCCCTTCCCAGCCCTGGGTGCGACGTGCTTCTAGCCCCACCCCTGTGGGCACCAGTCCCCAACCTCCACAGCGACTGTGATCCTCAAATGCCATCTGAACAAGAAGGAGAAGGGCAGTTAGGGATCAGCTTATAGAATTTCTTGGGAAGCTCATGCTTACTTTTCAGTTAAAATCCCAATAAAGCTGATGCTCGGTCCCTACAAGGCTGTTAGCTCATCATTCTTTGGGGAGTGTGGGGCAGATAGGGCCTCACCGCTGTGCCCACCTAATTTTTAAAAATTAGCAGGATCTTGCGATGTTGCCCAGGCTGGTCTCAAAATCCTGGCTTCAAGTGATGCTCCAGCCTCCTCAGCCTCTCCAGTGGCTGGGAATACAGGTGTGAGCCACAGAGCCATCATTCTTCAGCAAATACTTAGTTAACATACTACTGTGGTCGAGACAATACCCTAGTCATTAGCAAGACAGAAGAGGCCCCTGCTCCTGTGGGCTAACCTTCGATAATATGCAAGTAAATAAATACTGACCTAGGGTCTTCTAGATAGCAATGGGAGCTATGAAGAAAATAAAACAGGATGTGCTGAGCATGTGGTGTTCACTCAGCAAATGCTGTTTCAGTTTAACCAAGGTTGGGGGGTCTATGAAATAAAATAAGCCAGGTGCAGTGGCTCACACCTGTAATCCCAACACTTTGCGGGGGTCAAGGTGGGCGGATCATTTAAACTCAGGAGTTCAGGATCAGCCTGGGCAACATGGTGAAACCCTGTGTCTATAAAAAATACAAGAATTAGCCAGGCATGGTGATGTGATGCATGCCTGTAGTTCCAGCTACTCACTCTGGAGGCTAAGGCAGGCGGATCAATTGAGCCCGGGAGGTCAAGGCTGCAGTGAGCTGAGATGATGCCACTGCAATCCAGCCTGGGCAACAGAGTGAGACCCTGTCTCAGAAAAAAAAAAAAAGGAAATAAAATTGCACCAATTTTCATTAGAACAGATAAGCATCTTTGGGAAACGAAGATACCTTCCGGGAGCTTCCCAGCTAGGAGAAAAAAGTTTAATAGTTCTCAAGTAATTCCTATTCCAAGTCTTAGGCTGCTCAAGCAGAAAGGCCAGAGGGGAAGAGAGGCTCCCTAAAGGGCCATTCCGATTCCAGTATGTGGAGCTGAGGAGGGATGTTTCCAGAGACCCGGCTGAACTGTCTGTCTCCCTTTTGAGAAGTCTGTAGAAAAGGAAGCAGAGGCCATAGAACTGGCCACTTTGGAAGGCGCTCATATGGGAGCTGCATGCTGAGCTGAGCTGGGCTGGGGGAGGCGGGAGGCTGGGCTAGAGGTGGGACCCACAGCGGCTTCCCTGCAGCTCCACCCACGGCAACATCTGCTTCTCATCCAGGCAGAGCGCTATACAGGCCTGGCGGTCGCATTACACAAATTGTTTTAACCTTGAGGACTTCTACACAGGTTTTTCCTCCCCAGTTGGCCTCACTGGTGAACACACACACACACTGACTTCATCACATACAGAATCAGACACCCAAAGTTAGTGTTCCTACGGACACATGGTGGCATCCACACCCTTGCCATCCAGTGCAGAGCCATCAAAGCCAGAGACACACATCCTTGCACAAGAAAGCAGCGCCCAGCACTGCAGTTTCAGGCGGGAGACACTCCAGGATGTTCAAATGAATGAATTGCTACGCTGATATTCTTCTGGCTTGCAAATACATGCCCAGAGACACACCCTCACCTAGACAGGATCAACAGAATGTGGGAGTGACCGTGGCAGTCATCGAGGCCAAACTTCCATTTTATAGATGAGAAAACTGAGGTCCCAAAAGCAACAACTTAACTGAACCTACACTGCTAGTCACTGGAAAACTGGATATATAACTCAGGCCTCCCCATTTCCAGTCCAGCGGCCACTGAACTCTCTAGAACCCCTATTGCAAATACATATACACAAAAATAGATACTCAGACAGACACATCCACAACAAAATACACACACAGTCATAGTTTTTAAAAAACACACATGCACAAGCTTCAACACACACAAACCAGCTGCAAGCTCTGAACTCATTAAGCCAATAATAGTCGTGATAATGACACCTTATGTAAATGTCTGTTGAAATTTTTGTGGTGCTTTCCAATTGGCAAAGTACTTTGCCATTAATTAATTTAATCCTGGCCTGCCCACAACATGCCCAGTAAGCCACACTCCACACCATGCTCTTGTGGAGGAGTGCCCCATTAGAAACTCTCAGAGAGAGATAACCTAAGTGGCTAGGCTCCAGCCCCGCTCCCTGACTTTAGACATCAGAACACTTGAGCCTATGAAGGGCAATGACTCACTCAAGGTCACCAGCCAGTAAGTGGCCCCAAATCTCTTCCAACCCATGAGAAAGCTACTTCTTACTTAAATCGCCATCCTTGGCAGGTGGCCTTGGCTCAACAACTGATGGGACAGCAACAGAAGATGCTTCCCAGGTGACATGCAAGAGTGGCCTTAGCAAGGACATGGGATGGGAGGTACACTCCAAGGAAGAAGCAGCAGGTTCATACTCGCCATTCACATAGATGTGCATGTGCCACACGAATGCCTCCACACTTAGACTTGTGGATATCTTTCTTTCTCTTTTTATTTCTTTTTTCTTTTCTTCTCTTTTTTTTTTTTTTTTGAGATGAAGTCTCACTCTGTTGCCCAGGCTGGAGTGCAGTGGCGCAATCTCAGCTCACTACAACCTCTGCCTCCCGGGTTCAAGCAATTCTCCTGTCTCAGCCTCGCCCAGTTAACTTTTGTATTGTTTTTTTTAGTAGAAACGGGGTTTCACCTTGTTGGTCAGGCTGGTCTTGAACTCCTGACCACAGGTGATCCTTCTGCTTCGGCCTCCCAAAGTGCTGGGATTACAGGTATGAGCCACCATGCCCGGACACACGTGTTTTACCTTTCACAGACATTGTACCTGCAGGCTCCCACACCCAAACCCACAGGCATCATCGCATACAGGTGTGTCTGGACATTTAGACTCACCTTTGGACACAGAGCAAAGGGCAAGGTCTTTGGAGTCAGACAGACCTGTCTTGGAATCCCAGGTTGGCTACTATTAGCTGACAAGCCATGTAAATTCTTCTAAGGCTCAATGTTCTCCTAGATAACAGAATCTGTCTCCTAGGATTACTACATGAAATAAGACATATACACGAACCCCTTAGCATAGAGCGTGCAGCACGGTAAGCACCGCCCACTACTTTAATATTATCCCAACACAACCTGTAAGCTCAAAGTCAGCTCTAGACCTCCTCCGGGAATGCTGTCTCACCCACACACTCTGCCCCCACCCCTCCTTGAGTGAAACCCCAGTGCAGAGGCCACAGAACTGTGCTGGCCTGCGGGTCCAGGGCCAGTGTAGAACCAGGGCAGAGCAAATGTAAGGCAGGGCAGGGCATGGCCCTGGCTGCTGAGCTCCAGGGGTGAGGATGTCATGGCTGAAGAATGCGTGGGAACCGAGTGGGGGTGGGGAGAGAGGAGATGGACAGGAGAGCCTTAGGGGCAGGAGCTGGGCCTTGGGGCACTGTGCTTTTGGGCTCCCCTCTGGGGAAGCAAGGGAATCCGGATGCTAAGGAGTCTAGGAGGTCTCTCCTTACTCAGAGGAAGCCCTGGGGTCACGGTCAGGGTAGTAGTTATTTTCGACACAAGATAAAAATTTTTTGTGTTGTTTTCTGGCTGTAAACCTGCCAGGAGCACCGTGGCTGAGCCCATCTGTGTGCCTGGGCCTGGGAAGAATCTCACTCTTCCAGGTCAACCTCTGGACTCCACTGTCTCCTCGCCCAGGGCATAGCAAGGCATCCCCTCCTTGGGAAATGGGGAGAGGAAGCTGGCTGGTGTAATGAGCCCCAAGGCTATATGTGCAAGACTGACGCATGTCCTGTGGTACAAATGCAAGCTTCTAGCTGGGGGATGACACACACAAACCCCTGCAAACATGTGGATGGACTTCATCACATGTGAACACTTCTGCAGAGGTGCACGTTTGCACCTCTGCCTCCATGTACTCAGGAAGACCCATGCCCACACGGGTGAACATGCTTGCCCACAAGGCAGCGACATACCCACGCATGTGCACAAACACACACTCAACCGCTTCCCCATGCAGGATCTTGTGTTTTTAAACACACAAATAACTGCAGGCATGCACCGTGTTTCATGGGCCACACTCCCCAAAGGACAAGGGTGCACTTAGAAATAGACAGGGATGCACTAGTGTGAGACAAAAAGAGCGAGGGACGGGAGAGAGAGAGATTAGCTGACTCCCTTGGATCTCCTTAAGAGGTTCCTAGTGGCCTGAGAACTGGTGCTTCTACTCCCCCCACCTCAATATCTTCTCCCCAGATCTCTAGAGAAACTAGATTTTTTTTTTTTTTTTTTTTGACAGAGTCTTGCTTTGTCACCCAGGCGAGAGGAGTGGCGCAATCATAGCTCACTGCAGTCTCCAGCTCCTGGACTCAGCCTTGAACTCTCAAGCTCAAACTCCTCCCACTTAAGCCTCCCAAGTAGCTGGGACTACGGGCGCATGACACCACTCCCAGTTAATTTTTTAAGTTTTTTGTAGAGATGGGCGTCTTGCTGTGTTGCCCAGGCTAGTCTTAAACTCCTGGCTTCAAGTGATCCTCCCGCTTTGGCCTCCCAAAGGCATAAGCCACTGTGCCCAGCCTATAATTCTTAAGAATCCCTTCTTCCTGGGAAATCCCTGGGCCCCGCCCACCCCATCTAGGGCCCAGGGAGAGTATAAGTTTTTTCCTCCCTGCTTGGGGCACTGAAATAAGAAGGTGACTCAGGGGCAGGGGCCTGGGTGGGTGGGGTGACTCAGCTGTCTAGAGGGGGAGTGTGGTCTGGTGACAGGAGAGATTACTTCTAGACCTCAGAGGGTATACCCTAATCCTCTGTGGCTCTCTCATGTCCAAACCTGGCCCAGGCGGCCCCTGGGTGGGGATGGGGATGTGGGCTGGTGAGAGCTGCCCCCTCCCGCTCCTGCAGACTCTGGGCTGTCAGATGAGGTTGAGGTGGCAGCAGGGGCCTCACTGGCCCATTTTAACACTGGCACAGGGTTACTACCCAGCCCTGTGTGCGACGTGCTTCTAGCCCCATCCCTGTGGGGTCAGGCCAATGGGCTTCTCTGATTATGGGATCAACTGTGTCCCAATTCCTGCCTCCAAGGTCTCTCCAGGGGGTTGTTGGCTGGTCACCTGGGATAGCCAAACAGTGCTGGGAATCTTGCAGAAGGACCCCCTTCATGGTTTGGCTGATTTCCTGACATACAGGAAATCAGGGCTGCCTCAAAATCTTCCTGGGCAAGGGCTAGGGAGGGCTTGGTGGCACCAGCTCTGAGCACACAAACAGACCAGCTTGGCTTCCTGCCCAATGTCCTGGTCTCACCCAGAAGGTCCAGGAACCTCTCCAGGCTATCAAGGATCTTAATTTTGCCCTTAGTACAACGGCAACCATAACTTGACCAGTAATGGCCTAATGAAGGGGCCTGGCTACCCTCAGAGCAACCCAAGAGGTCACAGGTAAGCTGTGGGAGTCAAAGGAGCTTTCACTTCCAGCCTTTGAAAAGAAGCAGGGACAGGCATGCCTGCCATCATCACCTCCAGCATCTGGAGGTCAGGGCTGCAGAGGGTACAGGAAGCAAAGCCAGGCAAGAGAAAGCAACGTGGAGAACAGAGCTGAGGGACCCGTGGCTAGAAGACAGTGGCACAGGGGTGTGGGTGTGAGTGCCTAGGAATGGCCATGTGAGTTTCTTCCAGAGGTGGGCAGCAGATCTCAAGCATCAGTCATACCCCAGAGGGAGGCTGATCTGACCCAAGGCCTGGCCTTGTCAGGCCCCAGGGCCTTCTCAGCCGCCCCCAGGCCTGGCCCAGCGCCCCACCAGCCTCACTTCACCCGGTTAGAGTGCTTTCTCCAGAGCCCTTACTTGAAGCTCCAACTCAGCCAGCCCCACCCTAGCATGAAACCTGAGACTGGGGGGAGAGCCCTCAGCCTCTTGCTGCTCTGAAAATCACTCCCATTTCCAACAAGAAGGGAAAGACATCAGAATGGCTTCCCACCCATTCTTTAAGGCCTGGCCCCAATTGCACCTCCTCCACGAAGACCCCCCAGACCTTCCCAGCCTGCTGTGATCACATTTCTCTGCAGGCTGCAGAGGGGTAGGAGACTCCCTGAGCCTTTAGCGTCCTACTCTCCAATGTGGCACTCAGTGTGGCTTGGTTTGTGCCGTTGGTTATGTCTGTAGGTGTCTTGGGTCCCTACTGGACTGTAAGCTCCTTGAGGGCAGGGTCCTAGCTTGTACATCTCAGTACCTCCCACAACATCCATTCCAGGCCCTAGCACATATTAGGTATTGATGGATTGATGGATAAGAAGCACAAGGAGACAGCAGCAATCCCACATTCCTCAAAAAAATGAAGTGAGAGTCTGAGGCACAGAAAACAGAGAGGAGGCAGCCCACATTTATTTAGCTCTGACTCTGTGTTAAGCACTATTACGTGTTTTATGTATGTTCTCATATTTAACCCTTACCACCAACTCTATGGGAAGATGTATAATCAGTCCCATTTTACAGGTGTGAAAGCGGCAGTCCAGACATGATCATTACCGTTCTGAGGTAGTACAGCTATAACGAGTGGCGGGGTCAAGATTGAAAGCTAGATGTGCCTGCCTTCAAAGTCCATGGGCAGTCCACTCTGCCCTGTGCCCACTCCCAGCACCCAGCAAGAAAGACGACAGCGAATGTCCCGGTTTACCCACAGCCCAGCAGGCGTGGAGGGGGAAGGGCTGAGGGATTTGCCCTGATCTTCTCCAATGGATGGTCTCTTATTCCTGCCTGTGGGCCATCCTCCCAAGAGAGTCCCTGAACAGGGTCTCCACAGCCAGGACAAGAGCAACCTGCCCCTCCGCCCTTTGTGCCCCACACAAGCAGTCCAGTTCTAGGAACTATGCCACTTCCCCTAGCTCTGGCTATTTGGAGATGAGCTGAAGTCAGAGAGGCAGGAAGTCAAGGAAAAGTTCTGTTATCTTGTCCCTGTGTGTCCCCAAACAGCCTGCCCGGGGCATCCAATCGGGCAAATGGCCAGAGTGCCTGGCCATCTGGTCACTCCAGGGGCAGGACCCCTCTGGACCCAGCAGGAGTGAAGGGGTTACATAGGGTCTTCAGAGACAAAGAACACACACACACAGGCAAACACACACTCCAGGGTCCTGACCTCGGCTAATTAGCCTCTGGTGTCTCGGGGGTGACAGAGCTGATATACAGTATCTGGGTTCTCTTTGTATTTTCCCTCTTTCCACCCCAACTTGGCCTTGGCAGGGGTCTCCGGGCACATAGGGACAAAAGTAAATCCCCCTTCTGAGCTGGCTTCTCTGACTTTGACAGCTGTCTCCTAAGTCCCAGAAAGCTGCAGCTACTGGTTAAACCACGGGATACCCAGAGAGCACGATCTCAGGGAATCCCTGGCAAAACTTTCTTCCACTTGGGCTGGGTGGTGGCCTGGGGGACCTGCTCCTCGGAGACTCAGGCCTCCCAGCTCCAAGCCAGACAGATGTGCAGCCCCAGGGCAGCCCAGACAGGCTGGAAAACACTCAGCTCCTGGAGCAGGAGAGATGGGGGAGAAGGGGAAAGAACACACACACACACACACACACACACACGCACAGGAGTTTGGCCAGAAAAGTTTCCTACAGAAGGAAAAGCCGCCTTGCCCGCCGGTTTTCCCGGGACCCAAGGAGACTTCCCCTGGAATCCTCTGGGAAGATGAGAGGCAGCGGCAGCAGCTTCCACCAACAGCAGCAAAACTTCAGTCCGAAAAGTCCCCCAAACCCCCCTCCCTCTCCCCCTCGTTCTTTTGTTCCCCACTGCATTGCCAACCAGGCAGCTCCCGGCTTCCCACACTGGACTGTCCTCCCCCAACCCCAAACCCGAACCCGCCCGCGCCTCCCCGCCTGGCCCGCTGCCGGGGGGCCGGGGGGCGCTCACCCGCTTTGCAGGGGTCTTTGTAGTTGAGGGGCTCCGAGTCGTCCTCCTCCGCCAGGTCATAGGTGTAGTCGGCCAAGTCCAGCGGCCGGCCGGGACGCGGGAGCAGCAGCAGCCCGAGCAGCAGCGGCAGGCGGGCCACGCCGGGCATGCTGGCGGGGCGGCGGCGAGGGAAGCGGGGCACTGGAGGCTAGGGGAGGGCGTCCCCTCGCCCGCTCGTTCGCTTGCTCGATCGCGACCGCGACCGCTCCCGCCCTCGCTCCCCGACCTCTTCCCCTTCCCTCCGCTCGCCTCCCTCCTTCCTGTCTCCCGCCCCCCGCTCGGCCCGCCGCTCCGCGCTTGTCCTCGGGCTGCAGCCGTCTCCCTCTCCCTTCCCTTCTTTTTCTCTCTTTCTTTCTCTCCCTCCCTCCCTCCCTCCGGCTCCCCCCCCCTTTTTAGGGAAATGAGCTCGCTGGAGGGCGGGTTTTCGCCCGAGCTCGGCCCCCCTCGGGGCCGGGACAGTGTTCGGCCGGGCCGGGCCGCGCGCCAGCCGGGGCGGGGAAGGCGCAGAACCGCGCGCCCGGGGAGGGGGCTCGGGCCGCCCGGGCCGCGGGCCGCCGGGCCGGGGCGGGAGCTCGGGCCCCCGGGGTGCCGGGAGGGCTGTCGCTCCCGAGATGCCCTCTAGCGGCGGCCCGCGGGCGCTCGGCCGAGCCCCCGCCCCGCCGCGGGACACGCTGTCAGGTCCTCCCGCCGCCCCTGCCCCGCGCCCCCGCCTCGGGTCGGTCTCTCCGTCGACGTCTCCCTAGCTCCCCTTCTCCGACCCTCTCTCTCTCGCGTCTCGCTCTCTGCGCTCTCTGTCTCTCTTGCTGTCTCGGTGTCTCTCCCTCCTCCGGAGACGCCGCTGGAGGGCGCCGAAAGCCCGTGGATGGCTCCCCGCGAGCCCCTCTCCCCCGCCGGCGTGGACCCAGTCCCCCAGCGCACTGGGACAGAGGGAGAATGGCAAACCCCACTCTGCTCTCCCAAGGCACTTCCCTTCCCGGCCGGCCCCTGCCAGGGCAGGACTGTGCCCTACAGAAAGATAGAAGAAGACCCTTTGCTTTTCAATCAGGCTGCTTTATTCTGTTGTGGCAGGAGTTCCAGGGCCCCTGGGCACCACCTCTGCCCGCTCCCATCCTCTACTCAAACTCCAATTTCTCCGGGGCCTGTCCCTGCGTTGTGGGCAGAAGCAGCTTCTTGCCCGTCTGCAAAAGCTGCAAAAGACCCTTTGCCCAGGGCGTTTCCTGTCCCCCTGGGGCTTCCACTGACCCTGTGAAGCAAAGGCATGTTGAAGATGGACAGAGAGGATCGGGGGAGTGGGAAGTACCGGTCTGCGAGCCTCCCCTCCCCTGAGCTCCCTGGATGACCCTGCTTCAGTGGATGCCCCAGCATCTGGTCAGCGCGAGCGCTCCTCCACAGCCCGGGCAGGTGGCCCAAGCGCTCCCAGCGACCCTGGGATCACACCTGCTCACTTGAGGAGTCCTAGATGTAGTAGAGCGGCACCTCGCCACACAGGGTGCTCACGGCCATGCCCAGGAAGGCCAGGTCCCCTCTGGAGGGTGCTGAGCCTGCATCTCGCCCCTCCACCTGGTCCAGCTTAGAGGTAGGCACTGCGGGCTTGGCCTGCGGAGAGCATTCCATTTGAAATCTAGGAAGTGAGTTTGTATCCCGTGTGCAGCCCTTATTGTGGGACTTCAGGTATATCAGGCAATCTCTCTGAGCCTCAGTTTCCTCACCAGTAAAGAGGGGCTGTGCTTGAGTCAGAAGCCACCAGGTAGTGAATGGACTCAGCTGAGCCCAGCAGCTTGGCAGTGGGGTGGGAAGGGAAGGAGTCGTGCAGGGGAATAGGGAGAGGGGCAGTCAGCAGGCAGCCAACAAGGAACGATGCTTTACAGGTGACAAATAGCCACCATTCAGACGCTCCTCCCAGCAGCCCTGGGAGGGAGACAGCCCACTCCTTTCACCCACACACACACCTGGAAGTTCTGGACTTTTCTAGTGAGCGCCTCAAGACCGGGGATGCTCTCCGGAGCTGTCTTCATGATGTAGCACCAGGTGCCAGGGGCTGGCTTGTAGGCGATCAGGAGCTAGGCACAGAATGCTGGAGATGATTTGGGGGTCCCTGCCCTGCTCTCTCCCTGACCCAGGTCCTTAGCCACCTCCCTCTAGGTTGGGCATGGGAGTTATACTAGAATCTGGGGTTCAGGTCAAAAGGGCTGGAGGAGGGGGAGAGAAGGATGTGGATGAAGTGGCCCAGCTGGGTGGCTCTAGCAGAGCCTTGTCATTGGTCCCAGGGTCAGGAGGTCCGGGCATACCCACCCGCTGGTAGTCATACACCACGAGGCCAGTGGAGCCAACAGAGAAGGTGGCAGTGGTACCCAGGTGCCCACTCCGGGCCAGGTGTTGCTGGGCTTCCGGAGCCCCGATGCTCATCTCCAGAACCTGGGGATAGGGCATGGAGCTGCCTGGTTTTCCCCTTTGCTACTCAGCCTGTGGTACCCATCCCCATCCTCAGGCCTCTGTACTCAAATGCGCTTCCCTCTTTCCCGAGAGCTCAGAGAGGCTGAGTGGAACCAGGTGCTGGGGGGAGCCACTGTCCTGCTGTGGGGCAGGGGCCCTGTGGAAAAGCCTGGGCTGGGTTGCCACCTGGTTTGTGCCTCTTTCCTTCTAGCTGTGCCCCTTGCCTCCTCCCCTCCACTCCCCTTGGACAGTTTCCTATCGCCCATCCCACCTAGCCCCTCTGTCTGGCATGTCCTATGCCCACCGCCGCCCCATCCCACACCTCTCACCATCTCCGTGTGTTTCTGGCTCATGTGGAGACCCATGAGCAGGGCTCCCACAATCACCACAACGACAAGGACCACCACCACCACCACGATGAGAAGGCGTTTCAGGTGCACCGGGCAGCAGGGGATGCCAAATCGGCCCCGGGGAGCCGCGGAGTAGTCCTGACACAGTGGGGCAGGCAGGGAGACCGGCATGAGGTCATGAGGCTGCCCCTCTACTCCCTGCACAAGCTGGACACCCTCCCACGGCCGCCTAGGGCTGGACGGTCAATGCGATGGACAGACAGGGAAGGGTTGAGGAGATCAGAGAAGGCTTCTTGGAGGAGGTGGCTTGGATTCTAACAAACCCATAGACACATACAAGCTTAGAAGCAGGGTCTAGTTTTGAGGGACCCAAGAGAGCCTGCTTCACCTGTCTCTTCCTGCTGTGTCCCCCAGGCCCCTGGCATCTCAGTCATGGTCAGCCCCTCTCTGTTCCCCAAGTGATCACCTCCATGTGGTGACACAAAGTCTCCCTCCTTCCTGGAATGCCTTCCACCTTCTCCACCAGGTGAGCTCCTCCTTATTCTGGCTCCAGCTCATCTGTCGTTTACTCTGTGAAGTGTCCCCTGACTTCTGAAGTTTTTCATGGCTTCTGACTCGGAGCTGTCTACGGATGGCCATTTCAATCGACCCCAATCATGGCTCTCGGCCCGCGAACAACTCCACAAGGGTCCCAGGCTTAGTGGTCTTGGTGTCCCCCATCCTGTCTTACCACAATCCTAGGTTAGTTGAGTGAATGGATCTGGATAAGGAAACAGGCCAGGGAGGATAGAGGAGGCAGGGCCCATCACACACACACGCATACACACACACACACGCAACCACACTCACCGGGGGGCTCTCCATCAGGACCTCTTTGCTGCCCACATCCATCTTGCTGCAAGTGCTATGCTGTCCTCTCCTGCTCTCCCAGGTGTGACCAGGGTCTTATATGTGTCCATAGGGAAAGAGGACAGAGGTGAAGGACCAAGCCCCCTGTGTGCCAGCCAAGCCCTTGGCTTTGAAGCTTGTTTGTTCCTGGCCCTCCAGAACTGAAGCCCAGATAAGCCAGCTGTGAGAGCCCCCAAGGGCCCTTGGCCGTGGCACAGGAGTCCTCTTGGCCCCAGCAAGAGCAAAGCTGGGTGAGCTGAGCAAACTTACCCTTGGGCCATCTGCACCTCTCACCGTGGGTGTCTTCCTGGCGTGGCCGCCTTCCTTGCTGGCACCTGCCCCTGCTGCCCTGTGGCTTTCCTGATTCTTCTGCCAGCCTGAACCTCTCAGGCAGCCAAGGGTCTGACCATCACGTTTCGCAGCAGAATTTCTCGATGCATACGGATGCACTCCAGGAAGGGGGTTCTGGAGGCAGCACCTGTAGACTCAGAGAGGACTCTGCCTAAAGCAGGAGGTGCTTTGACATCAGTTTTGGGGGTTTCATAAATCTGCATTTCCCTGCAAGGACCAATTCCAACTTCAAGCACTCTTTCCCTCACCTCGTCTCCTCCCACACATCTAGTACCAGCCTCAAACTTGCCCCCAGTGATTATTTTCCTGATTCTGGAAACTGTCCCCACTGGTGGCAAGCTCTTACTGATGTGCAGTGCTTCCTTCTTTGCTCTGGGCTTGTCTGTCAATTGCACGCTTTGCTGATGGCAGATTCCAGGTCTGACACTGCTTTCTTCTGTCTGGACAGCCCTGCACAGGGCTGGCTCTGGTCACTGGTGGGCTCCCAGTCTCCCCATCCTCAAATCAGCCCACTCACCCTGTGGTCTACACTCTACCCCTCTAGACTCCCCCTTCTACATCCTCTGATCCTAAATTTGCCCTGAGAATGATACTCACCCAAATATGATCAACTTTCAGGACTGTCTCCTTCTCTTTTCTCTCTTTCCTAGTGCCTTCCCTAAAGCCATCTCTATGTATTTACGAGGTCAAATCTGCCAATGACTTTGGGCTGGCTCACCCTTTCTCTCAGGTTCCCTTTCACTCCTTGGGCCAGGTGGTCTCTAAAGTCCCTTCACCTCTAAACTCAGGTGGCTGTGGCAGCGTCTAGGCCTGGGCTTGCTCGCTTCACCTCCTATCTTTTTTTTTTTTTGATAAAGACAGCCCCTTTATCACCCAGGCTAGCATGCAGTAGCGAGATCACTGCTCACTGCAGCCTTGACCTCCTGGACTCCAGTGATCCTCACACCTCAGCCTCCCGAGTAGCTGGGACTACCAGAGCATGCCATCATGCCCAGCTAATTTTTGCATGTTTTATAGAGATGGGTTTTCACCATGTTGCCCAGGGTGGTCTTGAACTCCTGGGCTCAAGTGATCTCGGCCTCCTAAAGTGCTAGGATTACAGGTGTGAGCCACCATGCCCAACCAGCCTCCTGTCCTTTAACATGCCACCCCAGTTCCTGCCCCCTGCCCCAGCCCCCTCCCACCAGGGCCCTGCCCTTTGGTCATGAGCTAGCAGGTTCCCCTGTCCCCCCCTCCACCTGGAGGGCCTTTGGCCCCAAGGTTGCATAACAACATGGCATCTGAACTGAGAGCCCCTGAGAAGCTGAGAAACGCAGGAAGGAAGAAAGGGAAGAAAGTGTTTGCTCCCACCACCCTCCTCACCCCCGAGCTGCCCCTTTAAATATTTGCCTAAGACTCCAGCGGCTCAAGAGTGTCCTAGGACAGTGAAAGGAGGGGAGGGGTGCCGGGAGGAGGGGGAGCCCAGAGAAGCGTCCTCTCAGCTCGGCCTCAGCTGTGTGCAGGTGCCAGATGTAGGAGACAGCTCGCCTGCAGTGCCCACCCCTGCCCTCCCCCGGGGCCCCCACTCCTGCCCCCATCATCCTGGCAACATTGCGATTGATCGGCTGACTCACGCGTACTGGGCCTGAGCCAGGTGGGCAGCCAGCCAGCGGGAGAGCCAAGCACTGCAGGCATCTCGGGGTCCCTGTGGGCATCTCAGGGGGCCGTGTTGTCCTCACGTGGGACTTGTTCTTAGCAGGCACTGTGGGTGGGGCTTGCCACCATCACTGGGTGCTAGGAGAGGGGTCTCTTTCTTTGAAAAAGCCTCTGCTCTTTCTGGTCCTTGGTCTCCCTTGCCTGTTGCCCTTAGGCTGTAGCTGTCATAAGCTCTGTGGCTGCTGTTGCTGCTGCTTCTCCTTAAAACTCATTTTTGCTTGAGGGCTGAGGGAGGGTGCCCGCCTCCTGGAGCACTCACACTAACCAGGTGAAGGTCCTGGGTTCCTTGGAGAAGGAAACACAGAAGGATATTTAGCTGGGTGTGCCAACCTTCCCCCTCCCCCATACCAGCCCTATCTGCAGCCTTCTCACTTTTTTGCCTTTTCTCCTTATGGGAGAAATGGCTTAAGCATTTCTGTGAAATGCCAACCTCCAATCCCTCTCCACTTCTCCGGTGTTATTTATTTATTTATTTATGTAGAGACAGTGTCTCACTCTGTTACCCAGGCTGGAGTGCAGTGGTGCAATGACAGCTTCATAGCTCACTGCAGCCTTCATCTCCTGGCCTCAAGTGATCCTCCTACCTTGGCCTTCCAGAGTGCTGAGATGACAAGTGTGAACCCTGCATCTGACCTTCTATCTCTCTGAATGCCACCCACCCAAACAGGCCAAGTGCCATTGGCACCTGCTCTGTGACCTCACTCCAGTTCATGGTGCCCTTTGAAATCCTCAGCCTCTCTGTGGCACCTTCACCTGCCATTCAGCACACATGAATGTTCTTGTCAGCTACATGGGTGATTTTTGTTGCTCTGTCTTCTAGCCCAACTGCAGGCCCTGGGAAGGAAAGGAGCACGCTTCCCATAGGCTTCTTTGAACCTGACACTGGGCAGGAGGCATGCAAACAGCCAACACTTAATGATAGTCAATGATGAGACCAATACCAACAGTCGTCAATAGTCCATGCCTTCTGTATGTGGAGGTCTCAGTGCTTCCACTGGCCAGCTCTCGGACCCAGCGTGAGTCATTCTGCTTTGCTAGGCACTAGTACGTTCATCTGTGAGATGGGTCAGGTACTAGCTGTCCACCTCACTATGCTATTATAAGGACCCAATGGCATCATGGGTGTGACATCCAGTCGTCATCATTAGCATCATCTACTTCATCCTCTAGGGGACCTCCCACTAGCTAAGAATACAGCCCAGACTCGCCCTCTTTGTCTGTTTCTGGGTTGACCCCCTCTGAGAGCCCTGGGCGATGGACAGCCCCACAGTGGCCACCCCTTCTGTGTGGGCCTCCCCGTTTCCTCCTCCAGCCTCTCAGCTGCAGGGGTGGGGACAAGATTCACTTTGCTCTTTGTGTACTGGGCAGAGCCGTGCCAGGGACGGGTGGGGACAGTTGCCCAGCTGCCCCAGCCACCTCCCTACCCCCACTGCTTCCCTGCCCCCAAGTTGGCACGGGGAGGGCAGCTAAATGTGTGGCAGCAAGTAGACATCAAAGGGCAGGGACATCCCTGGCTGGGAGAACACGACTTAAGCTCAGACCAGAGAATCCCCTGCTGGCAGAGCCTGGGGACAGCTGGGGAAGCGTCTTAAAGCCAGTGGTCTCAGTTCCTAGACTGGTGTGGAAAGAGCACAAGACTAAAAGCCCAGGCAGCTTACAGCCAGGCTCCCCTTGCCCCATGCCTATGAGCTCTTAGGACAGTCATCCTCCGCCACGGGGGAGCTAACGTGGTATAGAGCAGCAGTCTTCAAGCTTTTTGGTTTCAGGACCCCTTAACACTCTCAAAAAGTACTGAAGACCCCAAAGAGCTTTTGTTTATGTGGGATATGTCTGTTGACATTTATTGAGAAATTACATTTTTATTTACATATGAATTTAAAATATCAGTAATAAACCCATTATATATTATGATATAAATCACATTTTTAATGGAAAAACTATTTTACAAAGCAAAAATAAAATTAGAAAGTGTCACTCCTTTACAGTTTTAGAAATTTTTTAAATTTGGAACTTCATAGAAGTGAAAAGGGCAAATCATGTCTTAACAATATTAGGAAAATTGTTTTTACCTCAGAGACAGAGGAGGCCCAGGGCTACACTTGGAAGAACCCTGCATGGAAGGACAACCGAGAACGTTGAAGTTGGGCACAGTGGGCGGAAATCCCTGCTGATACATTTTTCCTCTGGTGCGACTGGCCTCACTTTTCTTGTCTGTAAAAGGGAATTACTATCACCTGACTCAAACTATTGAGAGGATTAAGTAGGAAAAGTACAGAACACTTGAGATAGCAAACTTAGCCAGCCTCTTTTTGGGGGGGCCTCAGTTTTCTCATTTGTTAGACAAAGGGATGGACTGAAAAATATCTAAAGTGCTTCCCAGCTTCAACAGGCTGTGGTTGAGCAGTGAGAAATGTTCCAGAATTCCACACAGTCCCACTCCAGCTCCAGAGGCTGTGTTTCCCTTTTCAGCTCATGCTGACACAAAGGTACATTCTGTTCAGCGGCGCGTGGAAAAACATGTGAATTCAGTTAGAAGCGCACTTCAGACTCCTCCAGGACGCCCTTGTGCTTCTAATCTTGCATGCTAACTTAGATATACGTCTGCCACTCACGACATGCCCATGATGCTGCCTAGGGGATGTGTCCCCTCCATGCAAAGAAATCCAGGTACACAGCAGCACAGAGATCCCTAACCCCGAAGCGCCTCCACAAGGCAGTGTGTGCATGTGCCCGTGCAGAGACAGGTGAGCACCGGCGCGCACGGTCGTGCCCAGCACACGAAGGCACAAGTACAAGCTCACACGCATGCACTCACGCGCAGCCACACACGCGGATGGCCCCAGAGACAGCCCGGGAGAGCACACAGCGGCCACTCCTCCCCTTCGGTGACTCCCAGACTCGGGCCTCCCACCGCCGCCCCGCGCGCGCCCCCGCCGCCCGCGCCGCAGTCCGCATCCACCCCGCGCGGTCAGCCCCGGCTGCGGCTCCAGCTCCGCGCTCCGCGCTTCTCTCCCAAGCCTGATCGCGGGAGCGAGCAGGGGAGGGGACCGCAGCCGGCGCCCGAGGGCAAGAAGAGTCCGCAGGCGGGCCCCTGGCTGCGGCAGCAGCTGCCGGTGGCCGGGAGGTGCCAGCCCGCGCGGGGTGGCCCAGCCGCGGGAGCGGTGGGGCGGGTCCGCGGCTGCCGGCCCCAGGGAGAGCTCGCGGGCAGCATGGCGGGGCTGCGGGCCAGGCGGGGCGCGGCGCCGGGGCTGCTGGCCCTCTCCGCGCTCGGCTTCTGCCTCATGCTGCAAGTCAGCGCTAAGAGGCCCCCCAAGACGCCCCCCTGCCCGCCCAGCTGCTCCTGCACCAGGGACACCGCCTTCTGCGTGGATTCAAAGGCAGTGCCCAGGAACCTGCCCTCGGAGGTCATCTCCCTGTGAGTGTCCAGCCCCGGCCTTGGGGGTGGGGAGGGAGAGGAGGCCGAGGACAGCTCTGGGAGAGGACAGGAGAACCCTCGCTCCCCCTCTTCAGAGTGTGGGGACCAGGGGGACTGCAGGGGTCCTCAGGGCTGGAGAGTCGAGGCCCCAATCAGGCAGGGAGTTCTGCAGTTTTGCAGCCTCAGCGGCCATGGGTGGGGAAAGCAGGAGTTCACCACCAAGAATGAATCATCACCACCACGAGCGTCAGTGAGACCTACTGTGTGCTGGGCTCCAGACTTGGGGGGGGGGTTGCTTATACGAGCATGTGGACTCCTGCCTGTGATGTCACACCAAGGGCAGGAGAGTGGCAGCCAGGGCAGGTGGGAATGAGCTCTGCCCTCCCAGCACCCTGGCATAGGGCACACGCCTGCCACTGACCAGCCACTTGGCACCCAGCCCGGCCAGCCTGTCACTTGCAACAGCCAGCCTCAGGGGCTCCCCTTGTCTGTGGGACCAGAGAGGTTGTGAAGTCCTTAGGGACCAGGATGCCAGCCCCCACCCCCATGCCCCATCTCTCAACAGCACCCAGCCCATTGTGGGTGTTTGGATGATGATGATAACGGTGTGGGTGATGGAACCTTTTCTTGCCTGAGAGGGAAGCTGAGCCTGGGGCCATGGGTGCCCCAAGAGGCAATAGGGGAGGACTGTGGTGAAGGCAGGCAGTGAATTTGGGAAGAGAAGGGAAAGACACAGGTGGGGGCCAAGGTCGGTGAAATGGGGCGTTTCCAGGGCAAGTGAGTACAAAAGCCTCTGCCCTCCATGTTCACCTCTCCCTGCCTCAGCACAGCCCCTGCAGACCCCACAGTACTGACTCGGGTGTCCCCGCAGGACCCTGGTGAATGCCGCCTTCTCAGAGATCCACGATGGAGCGTTCTCCCACCTCCCGCTGCTGCAGTTCTTGTATGGATAGGGCCTTGTGGAAGGGTTGGGGGAGCTGTGTGGATGGTAGCAGGGAACAGATCCTGGGCTGGGGAGAGGGAGAGTGGACAGAGGCAGCCTCTGGAGACAAAGATGCAGGTGTCCCTTGCGTTTGTTCTGATAGGATGTACCCAAAAGGTGGGGCAGCCTGGAGTCAGGGGAGTCGGGGCAGCAGGAGGACAGCTAGGGATGGCACAGAGAAGCCAAGCACGGGGGATCTGGGGATGGGCTTGGCGCCTCTGGAGACCCAAGAGAACTGGGTGCGATAACCTGGACTAGTGCCTAAGGTGGGCACTGTGGGGCCATGTTAGAGACAGGTGACCCCAGGAATCACGGATCCCAGAAAGAGCTGGGGGCTGAAAGAAAGGGATGGCAGGAGTGTCTCCAACTCTACAAGATGCTGTCCATGAGGGACAGTTGTCCATGATGGGCTGGAGCGAGACAGAATGAGGGTGGGGGAGAGGGAGAGGAGATGCCACTGGGGAGGGCCAGGAGCTGGCTTGACAAGAGAACTCTGCCTCGGCCCATGTTTAGGAGCCAACAGGGACCCTGGGAGCTTCTGGGGCCAGAACAGGCTCCTGCCTGGCCTTGTTGCCCAGGTGGCCCAGGGATTCCCTATGGGGTCCCTAGGGGTGGCAGCAGGGCAGCCAGGTCTTGGGGAAGCCCAGGGCTGAGGCAGTGGGCTGGGGGCTGGGGCAGCAGGCACACCCTTGGAAGCACTAATTCCACCTTTGTCTCTGCAGGTTGCTCAACTCCAACAAGTTTACACTGATTGGAGACAACGCCTTCACAGGACTGTCGCACCTGCAGTATCTGTGTGTGGGAGGGAAAGGGGCAATGGGAAAGAACAAGGGAGGGGGACCCCAGGCCTGGGCGGCCGAGGGACTGGGTAGGGATTGGATGA